AACGTCGGGAGGGGTCTCTGAGGAAACTTATTAAAAATGCTCTCCGTAAAGTGAAGCAAAACGAAAAGCGGATATACCTGCGCGTCGAAAAAGCCCTACAAGCGTAAGGAAGTAATTTAACGAAGGGAGAGCCGGGGACTGCACTTGAGTCTCGAATTGGTTGTAAGGGAGACGACGGTGCTGGCAGCACCTCTTATTCCACCCCCTGAACTCACGCGACACTCGCTGCAAGGGTATACACGTGAACAAGGAGAAAAAGATCGCAAGGGGAGAGGAAGCGTAAGGAAAAAAAAGGCGCGTGCGTGCGGCAGGATAGGGTGAAAAGAAAACCAGAAAGAGATAAGGCTCGTGTGTGTTTTTCAGCTGAACAGCGAAAATTAGAAACACCACGAGGAAGGGGGTCGACACAGTAGAAGACGGTGTCGTTGTTGCTCTTCTTCGGCTAATTAATGCCGCCAATTAAGGATACGCGATACCCTCCTCTTTTTCAAACACGTCCTTTCTCACCCTCCTCTCCTTCATGCGATTAAATACTTTCACTACCACCTGAAAAAAAAAACTCGAGTTTGGCCCTCGCAAGTAATTTGGTCAAACTATAACAATAAACACTTCTAATAACAAGTGACGAAAAAAGCATTTCTTCCTCAAGGACCAAAAGAATTGATTGTCATGTTTACCTCGCAAAGCACGTAATCCGTCATGTAACCCGTCCATGCACTCGGTGCACTAGGCGGCTAGTGCTACTCTCGTAAGAGCCAAGGCTTTTCTCTCTACTCTCTTGTGGTGGCAGCATCGGTAGTGGGTGTATGCGATCGGAGTCCGCGCACGGCTACGGCACACAAAGCCAAGTGCCGCCGCCGCGTGCTAATCGCGAGAGCTCGAGAGAGACTCTTCACCCTGAGAAAGCTGCTGACGCCGCGGCGGCTACGCTGATGACGTGTACCTCCCTGCCAGCAACCACCGCCACCCCCATCCTTCCTTGGGTTCTGCTCTTCTTTTGCTCCTTCGTCACATTCTCTCGATTTCTCGGCCCTTCGCACGTTCGCTTCCCCTCCTCCTCCTTGTTTCGTTTTTCATCCGCTGCTTTCTCTCAAACCTTTTTTTTCGTAAGCTATTTTTTTTTTATTGTTTGTAATCAAGATTATTTATGCTGTAGAACTCCAAAACGAAGAGATGCGACACTGCCTCGAGAATCCACACCTGCGTATTGAGAGCACAAGGTCCTAGTGTTTTTTTTTTTTTTTTTTTTTCATATATGTCTCCTTGATAAATAATTATATTTTCTTTCTGTGGAAACAAAAAAGGTATTCTTAGATTATAGTGATAGACGCGTGACTGTTACCCCGAGCAAATATTTGCGTGCCAGGTGCAATCATTTCCGTAAATAGGCTGAATTTTTTAAGGGAAGTTTTAAAAGTTTTCCTAATTGCCTTTGATACATACAACATCGTTAGTAGACATAGCATTGCACATATCAGTAGATTACTGCAACTCATGTGGTAAATAAAATATTTTTTTTTTTTTTAATCTACATATAAGGATCCATTAAGAAATTGGAAACTGCTCTATTGTTTTTGCAGTTTTAAATTGATGCCAAGAAATTGAGTTTGTAAGTAAATAATAAAACGATTTTTTTATATAAATAATTTATAACTGACTTATTGATGATTACTGATTAATTATAATATATAAATGATTTTTAATGATAATATAAACGTTTTCGGGAGCAAGGAACGAAATTGCTTGTAAATTAATTATTTTTTTGATTGAATTTACTGTTTATTCGTTGGCAAGAGGCAGAAGCTCTGATAAAGTTTTCAAACTCGTTTCTTCCTTGAAACGAAAACTTCATTTAACGCAGAGTCTAAGTTTTCCTTTAAATACAGAAGCGCCACTCTTCCATTGTTCGAGGCAGTTAATTGAAGATGCTTGGCTTTCTTTTTCATCTCTATTTATAGGTTCCAGTTAGGTCAAGTGGAATGTCCCATAAATGTGTTCTTTCATAAAGAAGTACTTGACATTGATCATCAAAGTCTCATGTTTCTAATTACAATATCCTGTAATTATTCGAGCGTTTCATCTGGATACAAGAAATTGTTTACATTTATTTAGTATACCAGAAAAAATTTTAACGTGTTGTAACAGTGCGATAAAAAAAAATATTATAAATAAGTAGGTTTAAGCATGTTCAAATTATTATTTGCATGTATAACACAGAAAAAAAGATTTTTTAAATATTTTAAAAACGAATAAAAATTGAAAAAAAAAATGTTTATGAAATATGCTAAATAGTTTTAGTAAAAAACACTTAAGATCAGTTTTTAATTTAAAGCTGACCTCTTTAGCCGTGTATTCTTCATAATTATATAAAAGAAACTCTATCTGTGTGCCAATAGCGTAAAAAGAAAAGTAAAGCCGACAAAAATCGTCGTGAACAAAGTAAAAAAAAAAAAAAAAAAAAAAAAACCACCCGACTCTTGAGAAATTACAAGTGAACGCGCAAAAGAGATTTTCAACCTCGATGTACGTCCGAGTTTCTTCTTTCAAAGCACCATCAGCTCTTACCGCGATAGTGTAACTGTCTTGCGGCGTCTTTTTGAGAGCTATCTTCTTTTTTTTTTTTTTTTTTTACAAGAGCACACGGAAGGTACGTAAGTAGGTACAGTGCACGATAGGCTTTCATTTGAGAAATGAATATTTGCAGACGGAGATACAAATCTCTCATTCAACTCTGGCTAAATATTAAACCACGGAAATGTCGCCGTCGTACCAAGTAACTAAGCTTCTTCTTTTTCTTCTTTTCGGTGGTTTTTAACGGTACTTTTTTCATTTTGGCCAACAGTGGCTTACACTTTAAACGCCACGCAGTAAAGAATGGTGTCTTTCATGAAAAAAATCTTACTAAAAAAATATCGAAAAATAATTAGTAAATGATTGATACATAAAATTCATAAAGAAAGTTTTTATCTAAAAACATGTCTTAATTACTCTCCAGATCAAAAGTATTTAGAATTTCATTAAAGTTTTACTAATTTTTTCGTAAATTTAAGATATATACATCTTAGGTAGGATCACTGAGTATCATCTTAAGAAATTGTGTTAGAAATACTGTGATATAAGGCTGTTATTAATAGGTAAATGATTTTATTTATTAATTTAAGTAAGTTTAGTTTGTCATTGCATAATTTTTATAAACGCAGCTCTTAAAATAATTAATCTTAGTGTACAGTTCATCAATGGCACGACAAAGATGTATTTAGGTCATTGACCAATAGCGTACCAAGAAATAGTTATCAATGATAGTTTGCTTACGATGCAAATAAGTACATCAAGGTTTCAAGGTTTTGTTAAGCGTAAAAATAAGCAGACCATAATTCATATTTAATCCTTTTATCTCCAAGTTACATACATATCTGAATAACTTTAATTCAGTTTCTCTGCTCTGGTCACATAGTTGACTCTTTGACGCTATAATTAGGCCATTTCGTACTCGGAAGAAGCCTGATTTGGAATTAGTAAATTTTAATTCAAGGTATGTGCCCATGTGGGCAATCGATCGACAATCTTCTAAAAAGGTGTTTGTAAAAGCGAAGCTAGTTTACTGTAGGATTTTTCTAGAGGAGACCTTTCCTGAACAATTTGTCACACGAATTCACCAAAAAAACTTTATAAATTGTATTAATTCCAATAAAAGACAATTTGCTGCTACAAAAACTGTTAAACTTAAAAAATACAAAATTCATTTAAATACTACTTATGTATAGTGTAATTTGGATGAAAAGAAAGAGTTTTTTGTTTAAAGATTTTATTTCAATGATTCTTCATGTTTTCAAGTACAGGAAATTAAAGTTTGAAACGTAATAATTGAGCCTTCCAACACAGTTATTGAGCCCTCAAGAATACACATTAAAATCTCAGTTTTAAACAAATTATATGATTTTCCATGTAACATAATATTACCATCTTTGTCAAGCAGCACATTAAAAAGATCAGCACAACAGAGAACAAAGTAAAAAAAAAAAAAAAAAAAGAAATACTTCTCACTCGATAGTGCCGATGAGAGACAATAAACTGTCAGTCTGGCATCGGAGAAAGTACCTGGTTTGTATTCATCCTCCCTGCATTTCTCCTCTCCAATGCGAATGAAAACATCCGAATAACGAATGGAAGTGCCACGTTTTGTGCTACATCGAACAGCTGGGAGGTGAGGTGCACTCGCGTCAAGTGCACGAGCCGGAAAAAGACGCCCAGAGAAATGGAACGAAAAAAAAAAAAAAAATAAAATAAGAGAGAGAGAAAGAGAGAACCGAGCGTTTGACATGGGGGGCTGCGAAACAACATACATTTTCCCCTCCACGGTAACGAGCGAAGGAACGGGACGGAGTATACTCGGGGGGATGGGAAGCCGTGACAAATTATTATAAACAGCCTTTTGTAACTGAAACAAAGCACAGAGGCGTTACGCCCAGAGTGGCCGAAGGGTTGGCCCCAAATGGATGTTTCCCTTGACTTTTTGATCTTTTGCTTTCATGTTGGCCTGCACCCCCGATGACGACCCGCCGCAGCAGAGGCTGGAAAAGGAGAGCAGCGGCGACAAGTTTGCCCCGGCGATGAGTAGCCATCAGTTATGAACCGGTCGGGGAGTGGACGGCCACGGGAGCAGAGGACGGGCCTGTTGCAGCTGCGCCGTCGTTGCGCGTGAAAAGAAGAGGAAGAAGCCGCGGGGGTGAAAAGCTCGGGACGGAAAGCAGATAGATAGATGGACGGACGGATAGCCGAGCCTATTCAGGGACATTCGTACGGCCACACACAGCCGAGTCCTTGTATCTAGGGGGGCCATCTGGGAATCTTTATTCGCTTTTGAGGCCAACAACTTCCTCTTCGTTTCGTCTTTGCCTACTTTCTGCTCCGCGCGTTTATGTATATTGTGCACACATATATACGCCAGATACGTTATCTCGACCGACCGACAGAGAGACGCACTTGGTGTGCACCGTGCCATGGATTGGCTCTCTCACAGTACCGTCACTGCCGCCCTCGTTCTAGGACTCCTGCTCGTCACTTCCTTCGCACCCACTGGTGAGTAATGTTTCACGTCGTTTTATTCATTACATTTTATACAATAATTGAAAAATTTATGATGCATTCTAAGAGGTGACAAAGCCCACCCCAAGAGGTATGTACATTATCTGCACGTTGTTTTTGCAGAATGAGCTTCAAAGGGTTAATACATTTGCAAAGTGCCAAAGGTTGAAGGATGATATTTTAAAAGGGATATAAATACTTTTATCTTAAAAAGTATAAGTAAGCCTAGTTGCATTTGTCCAGATTTTTCTTTATTGGAATTTTTAATTGAAAAAGTAATTTTTTAGTATTAGCTCGCAAGTAGCGAATGGTGTTAAAAAAAATGGTTCAGATGCTCATTTTCCTTTTATTGGTTGGTTTCAAGAGATCAAACGTTGTATAGGTGCATAAAATTATTTATTAATCATGTTCATTTGGTAGTTAATCGTATTGTGCAGCTTTTGTGACTAAGAAAAAGTTTTTTTTTTTTTTTTTACTTGACTTGACATTTTTCATTTCGACATCAACGATTGATCCGTACCGATCGAACAATATCACTTTATGTTTGTTAAATATTAATATTCAAGGATCCGTTTATTCATGCACTTAAAAAAAATGTAAATCACCCTCAAAATACATATAAAACCTCTAGTATGGTGTGCAGATAAAAAAACTGACCATAACTTACGGGAGAGGGTTGGCATGGACAGTGATATATTTCCAAAATCACATCAGACAAAAAATGTACAGCTCATAAATTAAGAGGGTGGGTAAAAAAATTTATCCGCTCCTCTTTTGCCACCAATCTTGTGCACGCGCCGAAAAATCCCTCAGACGCATAATTTAAAAAAATTCATTCCCGTATCCGGAAAAAGGCTGCCGCCCTAACCCATCGCTTCGCACACACCCTCCCGAACCCTCTCGTTTCGGGATTATAGACCCTCACGTATGAAAAAAATGGGGGGTCTCTGGAGTTTTGAGTTATTACGGCCAGATCGAAATTCGGTGGAGGCAAACCCCCTCGATGCGTTCCGATGTATGGGATACCTATACACACATTGACATATTAAACGAGTGCCTCTTGCACACAATACACTCGTCTCTCCTCCTGACGTCTATCGAACTTGTCCTTTTTTTTGGTCTTTTTCGTTCTCTTTCATCGCCTTTCCTCTTGTGTCTCTGTACACCTCTTGGTGCGCAACGTATGCGAGGCTCGTCACAGGCGCCTCTCGACTTTTTTATTACTATTTCCAGCGAGTCTTTGCGCACGCGTTCTCAATACCTACACATTCACGCGTCCTTTTTCTCGCTTTTTTCTTCGTCTTCTTTTCGCCGTCGCCTTCTCTCGTTCCTGCGTTATGAATTCTCGAGTGGCAGCGCAAACAAAGCATGGCTTTGACGCCGATGAGTTCGACGGTGGTGGTGCACGCGTGTGGGTCCGTATTTCTCTGTTCTTTCTCGGAGCGATAAAGAGTGCGGGGGGAGAAAAAAATCGCCTCCATCATCTTGTCGATGAATTGGTACCGCACATGGTGTGCGCGTGTTTTTGCACCACCACTCGCGTCTTTCTCATTTTCGCCGAGTGCCTTGCTTTTACTCTCTCGTCCCTTATGAGCAACTGATTGTGATTTCCATCATCGGCATAATCATCACCATTACTATTATTATTCATCATTACTTACTAATAGTACATCCTACATGTTACCAATATTTTTTACTATTGGGCAACGTCTCCAATTTTCGGGGATGAGCACCTGGAACACGAGCTGTAATAATTCAACAACGGCAAAAACATAACTATTTGTAACCATAAGTGCCACTCAATACTTGAACCGATTGAGTGCACTATTGTCAGAGTAACAAAAAGTTGTGTTGCTTTGAGAACAATACCACCGATAAGGAAATAATCTACTATAGTTACCCCGACGATTCTGACCTAATGTTGAGGCTTGTGCGAACTGGTTATGGCATTTCAGGATGGGTATATTATTACTTTTTTATTTTTGGTTCCACGACTATGTGACCACCGCAGCAAAAAAAGGTATTTGAAAAATTCGATTAAAATCCTACCGATAAGAGTAAAGTACCTTTGAAACATTGATGAATCGTATTTGATAAAATTTCATGCTCTCATGGCCTAGAATACCAGTTTTGATAACTTTTATTATACATTTTATTCATGCAGGGAGTAAGAGATAGTAAAAACCACCAGTATGGTAAAACACAGCTGGTAACGTAATAAATAAAAAAAAAAAAAAAAAAATTCCACACAATGTGCCAAACAACATTAAAATTATTCGACCAAATTAGCGCTCGGGGTGAGGATCAGAAAATGTGGGCAAGCGTTGCCACGTGTTCATATCTATGCTATGTACTATAGCCTAGCCACCACCGGCAGCTTTGTACCAGTACGCACCATCACCTAGTACCGCTGCTGCCACCACTGCTGCACGAAACGTAATTTGTTTACTCTGCTTTAACACCTTTGTGTCTGCATGTGTATGTGTTTTCCCCTGCACCACCACCACCACTGGCAGCAGCAACGACAGCAAACAGCGTCGTAATGGCGTCTAATTTTAAGTGCATTGACCATACGTACAGGTGCCCGCAGGAGAGTTTCTTCCGCGAAGCGTGTTAACGCTCACCACCACCGCCTCTGCTGCTGCTGCTCGGCTTTTTTATATAATTACATATTTTATATTCTGGTTCGCGCCGGGCGCTGGGAATTGCGTTTGTGGCTTTCAACCCCTTTCGCCACTGCTCCCTTTGTTAATTATTCGTGCGTTTTCAATTATGCTCTCGTACAATCTGGATGTATACTCGGTGTGCACAACATCGGGACAAAGGAGTGCGAAATAATTGACGAAAGGGTCTGTAACACCTCGTGAATCGCAGAGTGCCTAATTGGATAATCGCTTGATCCAATGACATCAAGTTATTTCTTTGCTCGCACTGCATAAAATGGGTGGTAGTATACCCAAGGGGAAAAAAAAAGAGTGAGCCGCAACCAATTCTCGTAGGGGGAAGAAAAAGTCATCCCGGAGACGCCCCGAAAATTTTCTTGGCCTCATGATTTTCCGATTAGGTGGCTCGGGGGAGGGAAATTGCCCAGCTAATTGCCAGGGGGCCACTCCCCGGAGATATGACCGGGAGAAAAGGAGCGCAGCCGCTGGTGTTGGTACTTTTAAGCACACCTGCCCCGCCCCCTCCCTTTTGTCGCCTTCCAGCTGCAGAGATACGCTTGCAAATAGTATACCTAGAAGGGGTTTCTACTTTCTCTGTTTGAGGAAATTTTTTATTGTATCGAATGGGGTAGGAAAGGGCAGGACATGCGTTCACGCGTGCTTGGATCCGTTGGGTATACGCACAATGGGAGGGGGGGATAGGGAGGTGAAAGGGAGCAGGTGGTTGGGGCTCCCTTGTCACAGATATAATCTCAATTAACTAATGAATATTTACATCATGTTCAAATGGACAACGGCGAACTCGGCTCGTCTTACTCGTGCGTTCATATATATTATAATTTCGAGGTATTGGTTTTCGAGAGTTTATCAATTATGTATTGTATCACGTGTATGTAAATCCGCGTATACATATAAATGAGGTACAAGACCAAAAAATTTCTAAACTGTTTTGAACCCCATATTGTCTCGTTTATAAGTCCGAAAAAATCATCTCTCATCACTTTTTGGGATTGTTGAATACTTTGAAAATAATTTTTCTCAACTTTCTTTATATTCAATCGTTTATAATCACTTTGTCAGTGAAATTATAAAATGTAATCTATTGGTACACGGGATAGCAAGTGCTCAATGAAGTAGCTGTGCATACATAATGAAATAAGTTTCAACCAAGTTCTTGGTTGAAAGCACTTGCGTTACTTTTAATAAGAAATTTTATCGACAGATATTCGCAACCCCTGTAGGGTCACCTATTTTTTTTTTTTCTCTCGAATTTGAAAGCCGAATGACGGTAAAAGGAATAAAGCATTTAAAAAAATAAATATAATTTGGACCTACAATTTTACTTTTACTGTAAAGATTCATGCATGAAATAGAAAGAGACATCAAATAAATTTATTACATGTAAATAATAATGCTATAACTAGTTGATACTGAAAGAAATAATCAGCAGCCCTTTAAACACGTCAAGTCGAAATAAATAAAGTATCAAAATGTGGAATCTTCTGTAAATACCTTTACACATTGTATTGCAACTTCTTTATTCCCTTGGAGAAAGGAATACAGTAAAATTACATAATTTTCTTCTTTTCTGTAATCATATGGGAACACTACACACTTGTTAGTTCCTTTTGATAATTACGAAAAGAAAAAAAAATCATATTATATACTGTTGTTGGAGGTTATTATTATTTCCTCTACGGAAGTGCACAAGACACTTTTTAACTCGTCCTCGTACATTATTCGAGCAAGTACAGCGTATCATAAGAAATAAGAGAAAAAAAATGGCAGGAAAGTAAAAAAAGACTGATAATTTGCTTCTTTTGAATACAAAAACATGATGACTATGTTCAAGGGGGGAGGAGAAAAAAATGAAACTACGAACCTCCGGAGATTTTAACGAGGGAGTTGGAAGAAGGTGAATGAGCAACGCCAGAAACACAAGGTGGGGGAGATGAAGAAAGGGACACGCATGTGAACGATCCATGCGTAAAATTGTCTCGGTTATATCAAAGCAGGGAAAAAGACAAAGAAAGACTTGATTCATTTTAGACAATACAACAGTCGCAAGATGAAAAAAAAAGCTCAAGAAATATTTCACGAGCGAGTCTCCAAGACCTGAAACTCTGTATGGGTATTCTCTTGATCGTGTGGGACAACTTTCTCACCACAAATATGTATGCTCAACTAAACTGGTCTTCATGAATTGGTATTCGACCAGACCCCGCTTGCATGCAGTTGTGAGGATTTTTCTGTTAGGATACCGAATAATAGAAGGGGGACTCAATAATAGAAAGCTTACTTGTACGTAGACCTCATTCGTATTCGGTAGAA